AAACTGGATTTTCATTATTTTTAGAATTATGCTATATTGTATTATATAATTTATTGGTTTGTGTTATAAAATTTAAGATTTACGAACTAATAACCGAATTCTTGTGTTCTAAATTTTTCATAAGATCATTATCTCACTTCCTGCTGTGAGACTTCTAAATAACTTTTTAAATTAAATGAAATTAATATTGTACGAATTGTAATACACTCAAACCGTTCAGTACTCCATTTCCACTAGTTTATAGTGAGTAAAACTAGTGAGACACATAATGAGCTTCTAAATGAATGTATGTACATGATATATATAACGTGTGCTCTTAAATCAAACATTACAAAAACCTGGGTTTCATACACCTTTATAACGTTTTACCAGATCTAAAATAGAATCTTGTTTTTATAAAATAATTGCGACGCAGAGAACTACTGAATTTTTAAAAACTAAATTGAATTTTTCATATTAAATAATTTTTTTTTGTTTTGTTTTATTTTTTTTTTTTTGGAATTTTATGTGATTTATTAAGTTATAAGCCGTGTTAAAATAGTAATAGTTTTTATAAATTAATTCCATAGAAAGCAATATAAGAAAGAGAAAGAAGAAAGAGAAGGAGAATGTCACACTTCACTGATTTAATTTGTTTTCTTTTTTCTCTTTCTTTCTTTGGCTCTTTTTTTTTGCTATGATGTTAGAAAAAATGAGCGTTTTGCAATTTATTTATTTTTGTTATTTTTATCCCGGCCCCCTTCTCAACAATTTGTTTCTCTCTTTTATTTTATTTTTTTTTATTACTCTCATTTTGTTATTTTTTTTTGTTTTCTTGTCATTGACGTTCACCCACAATCAAGCAATCATCCACTTAAAGGATTTATTTCAACATTTTTTACTGTTATGTTTTACTGTTATTTCTCTTCTTTTTTTTTATTATTTTTTCTTGTGTATAAAGAGTTTTTCCGATTTCTTGATTTTCTTTAAATAAAAAAAATGTTTTTTTTTTAATTTTTTTGTTATTTTTAAATTTTTTTTATTCTCATTTTAATTTTATTTTTTTTTTTTATTTCTTCGCATCAAAAACGTTTTAGACATATAGTTTAATCGAAGAGAAACGATAGCAATATCTTTCAGAAACAATTTTTACTTCAATTGGTTTTTCGTTTTTTTTACAGTGTTTTTGTTTTTGTTATTGTGTTGTTGTTATTTTATTTTACGATATTTACGTACATTCGTCTTGTATGTACTTATATATCACATGAAAAATATTTTATCCTGTCGATACTTCAGTTTTTTTTGCTTCTTGTCCTTTTTGTTTTTTATTCCAAATTCCATAGTAATCGATTGGTATTAGATAACTTAAAAAGTTCAAGAATCACTTAAGAAGAGTAAGGATTATATGTACAGAAAAAAAAGAGTAGCAGTAGATTATTTTAAAAAAGCAAAAAAAAAAAACACATGTATATATACATTGTATCTTGTATATTGAGTAAGAAAGAGAAAATAAATAAATTGGAGTAATAGTGGTAGTTGTAACTTGGGTAAAAATGGGAGAGGGTTGGAGGGGTGGGGGAAAACAAAGTTGATTTGGCTGATTATATTTATGCTAAGAGAGTTGGTAAGAAGAAAATAATAAAAAAATTAAAAACGAAAAACGCAAATTGAAAATAAAAGGAAGTGAAAAGTAAAGAAAAAGGATTTAAAAGGAATATACAAAAACCAAAACAAAAAAAATTGTGAAAATTAAATGTTTATTTTAGAAAAGTAAGTCAAGAAAACAAAAACAAAAGAAAAACAAACAAAACAGAAGGGAAGCTCCCAAAGTACTGAAAATTTCAGTTTCAAAAAAAAAAAAACATCAAAAGATTTTAAAATTAGCAGATTATAAACCCTTTTTTTTATTTTCCTTTTATGGTTTCATGGTTTGTTTGTATGTTAATTTCAAAGTAAAATTCACTGATGTATGCATGTATTAAAAAAAAAAAATAAAAGTTAAAAAGTTTTCAAATTTTAAAATTTAATTTTCCATTAAAATTGTGTTCATTTTACTATTCCAATTTCTTATTTAAACTTATTCAAACATTTTTACTGTTCTTTTAACTATTTTACTATTTTTTTTTCGGATGAGTACCTATATAGGTATACTATTTTGTTTTTTTTTTTCCAGTGTCTTTCTATTATTCTAAGGAATTTAGGTTTTAAAACTTTTAATACTCAAACTTATTTAACTTAGTTATAGTTTAATACAAATCTTGATTTTAAAAATTTATTTTGAGTCAAAAAAAAATTTAAAACTTATGTTTATTTGGGTGTGCATACAATATCATTCATACAGAATGTGTGTCTTTACTATGTACATATTACAGTAAGAAAATATTTTCATTTAAAAAATTAATATTTTTACGTTTATATAGTGTTGCAAACTAAGGGCAAAATAATAGCAATTGCAAGTATAAAATGGCAATAAAGCTATCTAGCAATAACTGTGAAAACAGAACCAAAGCGGTGGGCGACAATGGCGAACGATTTTCGTTGTTAAACCAGAATAAGAGCGGAACGAAAAAATCAATTCAACAGTATTTTGTATATAATGTCACATAAACACATGAAAAAAGATAATGCCAAAAAAAAACCACATGCGGTAAAGTAAAAATTTAGGCCGGCGGTGAAAATTCGGGACTGTAATTTCGTTTAATTCTCGATAGTCCCATTTAAGTATGCGTATTTTATATAAATTTTGAAATTTCGCAAGGGAAAATCGCTCTTGTTTTGTTTTCAACTTAAATCGGTCGATTCTAATAAAATACTCGTATCAAAGTTGCAATATTAAATTATTCGAGATCTCCGTATTCAAATCTATACTTACTGTATTTCAACAAAATTTAATTGGATTCAGAAGATTTTCTATGAATCCAATTTTCAATTCTATCAATTCCTAAATCATAGTATGATTTTCTAAAAATCATACTATGATTTAGGAAATCTGGTTTAGTCGTTTTAACACATCGTGTCGATGTTTTTTAAAATATTAAAAAAAATTTACCAAAAATATTAAATGAAACAAAAAGTAATCTCAACTCTACAAATTTAGTTTTAGTCGAAATTTCGTCATTTTTAAAAATGAGACTTAAAATTGTTTTACTCGGAGCTTGAAATCCTGTTAATCCTGAAGTTAAACCAGAGAGTTGAATTTAAAATGTATAAAGGTGAAGGCAATCTGTTTTGTTCTCGATACATTTGCTATGTTATTTTTCTTCACTTTTTTGTCAAGAATAATTCTTTGCTTATTACTCTTAAAGGATATTCATTTTAGGAATGGTAAGTGCAACGGGTCCACCACACACAACTAGTACATATTTGTCGTTTTGCTCCTATTACCCCGTGAACATTAAGCCGGGTCATTTGTGTGATACTCATTACTTTTTTGCAATTTTATGCGAAAATTTTCTAAGAAAAAAAAAAAGGACTGTGTGAACAACACTAAACAGCCTTCCCTAGTAAATTTTTGATCTAGCACATTTTTTATTTTGTACGAAAACAAAAACGGCTGCATCTTCAATTTACAAAGAATATAGAATGTCAGAAAAAAATATTTAAAAACTTTTTCAATTTCTTGAACTAAATTTGTATGTTTTTTCAATGAAATTGTTTGAAAAACACTTTTTAAAAACTTATTCTTCACATTTGTAACAAAAAAAAAAAAAACATTTTTTTTTTTATTTTCTCAAGTAAAACTTTAAATAATCCACGGAATTTTCATTGTTCGCAACTGGAATTTTTCTTTTTTAAACTTTTTACAACAAGAATATAAGAGAAAAGAAGAGAATTGGCATGAAAGTCTTTATTACGAATAAAAATATTTTTCATTCTTCGGTCCGCCAGATAAAAAATAAAAAAAGTTTAACCAATAAAAAAAAAAGAGTGAGGAAGGCGAAAAAAGTTTTTGATATGTGATTGATTTTGTAACAATCAAACCTTAAAAGAATTTTTAAAATTGAAAACTTTTATATTCTCTTTTTTCAGCAAGGATCAAAATACTTGTATACTTATCATAATATAGACCTACACATAATATAACACCAACACACATTATTGAATTTGTGAGTATGAGAGAAAAAAAAAGTTGTTAAAAAAGTTTTATAAACACGTAACGTGAACAGATCAAGTGATAATTAAAATGTTGATAATGTTAGAATTTTTGATAAAAGTTGTCATTGCTATCAATGAATCTATCAGACTGAATTAGAAAAAAAAAGTTAAAATTTAGACTATTAAGTAAAATGATATATGTAATAATAAAGAAGCCGATTTAAATGAACAAATCAACTCTAAATGCAATAGAGTGAAAGTTTGAAATGTTTTGAAATGACTAAAATGATTTAAATCCGAGAATAAAAGTATTAAAAACTTCTGTTAAAAGTTAAAAATGCAAATTAAAGCCAATTTACAAATGAACCTTTATTGGAAATTGTGTTAAATTGAATACAGTCCTAATTGCGGCTATATAAAACAACGTCTACAATCGAACTCCACTTGCTTTATAAGAGAACTAATCAAACTAATTCACTTGCACTACGAAAAATAATCGAACTTAAAATGGTCCATTTATTAAAAATTTATTCACAAATATGAGAAATAGCTGCGCAATACATTCTTCTTATTCACGTCATCCATCAAACATTAACGTTATTCATAAATCAAACAACAATTTTCATTGGCTTAAAGTTATTTGAATGTTTTGGTCATACTTCAACTCTCAGAAATTTTAAAATGGTTTGTGTTATTCGAAAATTCCAATATATTATAGGAACAGAAAAATCGTATTGTAAAAGCTCTTACTGTTTATGACCACTGCTTCTCGTTTTAAGACTAAATTAAAGTTCGTGCCTCATTTATACCCGAACAATTCCAAATTTTAATTTTATATCGAAATTATTTCATACAAAATAAGTTGAAATCTTTTCCGAATATAATATTAAAAAAATTTAATAAACATTTTTTTTTTTTATTTTCAGATACTTGATGCTAGTTACCACAGTAGTCCATCATTACAAACTTCAGCTATGATAGCTGTTTTTTCATTACTTTTAGTTCTAGTCGTTTTAATATCATCTTTATTTGTATGGAAGTAAGTAATTTTTATTAGAAATTTTTACTATAAAAATAACCATTTAAAATGTTTATTAATATTAAAATACGAGCGATCCAGTACTCTTCTATTGGGTAATTTCGAAACACTTTAATTTAAAGAACAATTTAAAGAACACAAGAGTGATAAATGAAAATATTTTCATCTCAACTATAATGTGGAAGAAGTTAAAAGAAAACGAACTGATAATCAATTTTATGATTAAAAATTTTAAATAGCTCTTTGCTTGAGCCTTTTCAGCAGTCTTTCTTCATTATTTTTAAAAATTACTGTAAATTTAATTTGCACCTCTTTTTTTTTTTAATTTTTCTTAAAAATTTGTCTCATAAATTTTATTGTGATTATACAACAAAAACAAAAAAAAAATATGGCAATCTAAAATAAAATTTTAATTTTCGAGTTTTCAAAACCAATCTGTCAAAAACAAATAACAAATTACATTGCGTTTTATATGTACGCAACAAAAATTCCACTGTCTGCGCTCTCAAAGAAGCAAATAAGGCGAGAAAAGATATTCGAAATTGCATTCAATTGAGAAATGTTTGTTTAAAAAAAATAAGTTAAGTAAATTCTGTAAAGTCTAGAAATTTTAAATTATTTTTGTTTTTTTTTTTTTTACAAAATTTACCTCCCAACCCAAACCAAACTTACATATTGCAAAATAAAATAAGGGGCATTTTTATGTATGAAATAAAAATTAACGAAAAAAAAATTAAATTGCAAATAATAAAAGTTGTGAAATGTAGCAACTCCACACGCAGAATATGACAAACATGTGTGAAGAGAATTTGCTTTTTAATTTATTTACGCGTGATTTACAAAAACTTGCGATCATTGAAGGGAATGGTTAAGTAAAAAAACAAAAACGGAAAAGTGAATGAGATTCGCGACGTCTTTGAAAAGAAATTCCTCAAATTTTTGTTTTTTTTTTTTTTCGTTGTCATTTTTGTGTTGTTGTCAGTTTTTTGGGCAATTTACAAAATGTTAACGCAGCGGTGATCATGTCAATTAAAATAAGAATTTTATTCTTTCCCGTTTATTTTGTTTGTTTTGCAATTTATTTCATACAGAAAATTTATTGCAAGCGATTGTAATAAAAATTATTTGTGGTTGGTTTTTTTTTTATTCACATAAAAAGCACTTACAAAAAAAAAAAAATGCCTTACGTTGTTTTGTATGAGGCGCTTCGAATTCATACTTTATTTTTTAACCTATATAACCTTTCAATAAAAAAATAGTTTTTTTTTTTCATATTTATCTTATTGATTTATGAATTATAATTTTCGCGTATAAATTGTGAAAATTTTAAAATTTTGTATTTCAATATATTTTAAATTTTAATATGGTAATAAATATTAAGTACATGTGTGTATGTATATACATTATGTATATGTACGTAAGTGAACACTGAAATTATTAATGAAAACATTTATTGTTTTACTTTATTATGAAGTTGCTGGAAATCATAGCTTTGACTTCCAGAAATTCAGTTATGTTTACGGTATATCAATTCCGTATATCACATTTATGTATTTTCGAAAAATGTGATTTTGCGAGGTAATTTCGCTCAAAAATTTAAAAACTCGGTAAGCTCGGTTCGGGATTTTAAGTGCCGATTATCATAGATTGGACAAAGAAGTATATTTTGTTGATATTATTGTTTTACTAATATCATATTACACAATTCTAAGGGTTCCTTCCAAGTATATTAAATACTGTGGTTGAAATTTCTAAATTAAAATAAATTACAGAATATTGTTAAAAGAAAAACCCCCTTTAAGGAAATTAATTGTTGCATTTTCGAAAATCTAATTTTTCTTTTTTCTTATTTAAATACTTAAAAAAATTTCCCCCTATTTTATATAAAAGAATTTACACATTATATTTATAATGAAAAGTTTAAATTCACTAAAATCGTAAGCGTTTCCTACATTAAACGAAAATGTATAGATGTTTAATGTTGGTACCGAAATAATAAAACAGTGAAAAACAAATTATTCCATTGCATTCACATTAAGTCATTAAATATAATAAGAATAAAATGAAAACATCAGAGAAAAAAGGGGGCGTCGACAACGCCATACTATTCGTCATGGGAATTTTTGTTTTTATTTCAAATTTCGATTAAAAAATAAAAAAAAAAAACAAAAGAATAGCAACCAACGATCATGAAAATATTTTGTTTCTGGAAAAAAAATCAAAGTCGTCAAGAATAGAACAAAAAACAAAGAATGATTTTTTTTCGCGTTAAATATACATACATTTGATCTATGTATAAATATGTTTGTTTAGTATAAAGTAAAATTTGCAAATTTCGGTTGCCATTTAATTATCAGTCTTGCCAAACACTTATTTTAAATAATTATTTATAGCAAGATTACCAATCGATGCGCAGAAAATTATAGTTGCATATAAAAATTTATTTTCAAATTAAAAATCTTGAAACCTAAATGCTTGAAATATATTGAAATTCCGAAAATCTTGTAAAGTTTCTGAATTGTTTACTGATTCATTACATACTGACTGCTTTATTAATTAATGATATTAACTTCAATAAAATACCAAGGTCGGCAACTGATAGGATCCATTTTAGAGGAACGAATTATGAGTTATTGAATGAGAGGCTTAGGTTAGAAAGCTGGATTGATGTATTTTGTGGACGTGATCCGAATGTAGCGTTTGAGGCATTTAACCAAATTTTGAACGGGCATGTGGATTTCTGTTCGGAATTTGTTAGTAAATCTAATAGATTTACACCATTGAAACCCTGGATGAATGATAGGTTACTGAAGGATATTGATTTTAAACATAAATTAGCTAAAAAATGTGCAAGATTTCCAAATAATCCTACTTTAAAAGCAAGGTATAAGAAAATTTGTAAAAAAGTGAGACGTAATGCGAAAAAAGTGAAGGATTGTTATTATATGTCGGAACTTAATAGGGTTAAAGGTAATACACGAAAGGAGTGGAATATTGTTAACAGTTCTTTAAATCGTTGTAAATTTGACAGTGTTCCTATTTCTTCTTTGAATTTGGATGGTGTTATTGTGAGTGATAAAGAAGTAATTGCGAATGAATTCAATAGCAAATTTTCTGACGTGAATAATTTATTGTCAGGTTTCAATTCGCTGGGATGTGTTGATGGTTTTTGCGATTTGGTTGATGATATTCATCAAGTTAGCAGCTGTTATTTTGAGCCGATTTCTTCATTTGAGCTTTACAAGATAATAGTAAGTGAGCTAGATAACTCCAGTACTAATTTATTGCTGAAGAAAATCGCTTTAAATATAGTTGACACTCTTTCTTTTATCTTTAATTGGTGTATAGATGATGGTATATTCCCTGATTTGCTAAAATTAGCTGATGTTGTTCCATTATTTAAAAAGGGTGATAGATATAATATAGATAATTACAGGCCAATTTCAAAGCTGCCCCCGTTGTCTAAGGTTATTGAAAAATTGATCAAAAAAAGAATGTTAAAATTTTTGGATCGGAATAAATTTTTTAGTGATATTCAGTACGGGTTTAGAAGTGAACTGTCTACAGAGGATGCTTTATTGAATTTTTGTTCGAGAATTTACGGGGGTCTAAACAGTGGTACTAAAAATGCTGCTCTTTTTATAGATATCAAAAAGGCCTTTGACACTGTAGATCATGAAATTCTGCTCGATAAACTATATAAGGCAGGTTTTAGAGGTAATGTATTTTATCTTTTTAAATCTTATTTAAGTGGTAGAAAACAAAAAGTTGTTATAGATAATTGTGTTTTTAGCGATTTCAAAGATATTCTTGTAGGAGTACCTCAGGGCTCAGTCCTTGGTCCTATTCTTTTTTTAGTATTTTTCAATTCTCTGTTGTTTCAGAAATTTAGAGGTCGTCTAACTGCTTTTGCAGATGACGTTGGTTGCTCGTATAGTAATCTTTCGTTGTTTGAAGTTGTATGTGATATAAGTTATGACTTGGCATTGCTTAGAAATTGGCTTTCTTTCCATAAGCTTTTATTAAGTGATAAAACAAGGCTACTATTTTTTAACCTGGGTGGATCGGTGCCGTTGATTGATAATTTATATTATCATTGTTCGGATTGTAACAAATTCAATTTATGTGCATATAGGGAGAATTCGATACCTTACGATAATTCCAGCAACTGTAACCCGGCTTGTTTTAAACTAGAATGTGTCGATTCTTTTAAGTATTTGGGTCTTACATTGAATGCGAGGTTTGATTGGTCTGAGCACACAAGGTTGTTGAAACACTATTTTAGTACAGTGGTAAGGCAGTTTTACTATCTGAAACAGTTTGCCACAAAAAAACTTTTAACATCTATTTACTACGCCTTGTTTCATTCCAAGCTTCAATATGGGATCGTGAACTGGGGTGGAACCCATAATTGTCTTCTGCAGCCACTTTTGACGCAACAAAAATGTGTAATTAGATTAATTCTGAATAAAAATCGTAGAGTTAGCAGTTTTGATCTTTTTAGGAGTTTGAAAATTCTTCCACTAAAGCACCTTTATTGTTTTAAAGTTCTTAAGGAATTTTTTAGGAAAAGTGGTTACTTAAATTATAGATACTGTTCGATTCATAATCTTAGAATTAACAATAGAAGGCTAGCTTTTGTTCCTCCACATAGAGTTCAGCATTTTTTAGGCTCTTTTGCATCAATAGCTCCACGGCTGTATAATGCTTTGCCGCAGTGCATTCGAGGCTTGTGTTTCGGTTCCAAACTATTAAGGGAGATAAAATCATGGCTTTTTGGTTTCAATCATATTGAAATAAGGAGTTTGTTTGTAATTACTACTTAATTTCGCATTTACGAATATCAACTTGTTTTAGTTTCGCTTTTTTCTTTTCTTTTTTCAAAATACTTAAAAATTTTTTTCTTTCCTTTTACATTTATTAACATTTTTTTTTTTTTTTAGTTTAATTTACTCTTTTCTAATTTTTATTTTTTTTTTTAATAGAGTAACCCCACTCTAATTTTTAATTAGTACACTTCGTCGGCTGAGAAATAAAACAGTGTATAAAAAAAGGTATAGTTTTGAGTAAATCGCGTTTGAAGTTTTTTGCAAAATGAAAATGAAGTTTCGAATCTAAAATCTTC